GGAGGGTACGGCAGCAGCTGCAGCGCCCTGGACAGGAGCTTTGAGGTCCTCGTCAGTCATTTCTGTCAATAGTGTTTTTCGTGCAGTGAGCGCTTCGTAATACTCCTTGCTGCAACGTAAAACCAAGACATGAGGAAGCATACAGTCTAATTGCAGAAGCAGAAGTTGTGCTGTATCCAGCCCTTTCCCTGATTTAGCCCCCTCACTCAACACTTACTCGAAGGGAGGCTTGTCTTTCACCGCTGCAGGATCCATCTGACAAAAAAGATATGTGATACTTGTTTCTGGAGTTTGAAGCTCATCTGGTGTTTGAGTGCATGTTCCTACGGCGCAGCCAACTTTGGTACTGTTAGACGAAAGAAGGCGTGCGAGGTTGGCGCCGTCGGGTTTCGCCCAGAACTTCGTCCACTCCTCATCATTTTCAGGGTACGACTGCAGCTCTCTGAGGGAAGAGCAGCAGTTGACATCGCAATACCATGCAGAATTAGCATTTAAATCAATTGGATCAGCGACGAGGATAAAGAAGAAGCGGGTCTGTGCCGGGCACGAGGTGTATGAGAGTACATGCACCTCGCTATGATTATGGAGAACTGTTCGTCACATTATCTTCTCTTCTCAGCATGACATCTCTGTGTCGTAGTCTTTTGCCTTCTTTGATTTTGTATGCATTAGTTTAATGTCTTGTGGAATTACACTACCTACTTGCTTGTGTGTTGGTGTTGTGCTGCGGGCAGTAAAGATGCACTCACTTAAGTCCAGCTTTAAGGGCGTTCTCCACAGCTTGGCGATATTCCTGGTCTTCAGCGTCTGTGAGCTGTGCGAAAAAATGGGTCTTTTTCTGAAAATTCAAACAGAAGCGGAAAATGTCAAATATATTTTCGTGCTTATGCAGAGGTCCATAAGCGTCTAAATGCGTATTTATGCTCGCCAGTCGAACGTTTAAACGGTGGCTTTACTCACGACTTTTGCGATGGATTCTTCACACGTTTCGGCTGACGGTTCAGCTGCCGCCGCTATGAATGCAGTCTTTACAGCATCGGTCAGTTCGCTGTTCTCCGTCAATACGCCAATCCGTACAGACATCTGACCAACGCGGGCCAAGTTCACGGATGTGTATGCATCTGCAAGCAACAGAAGCTTGCCTGGAATCAGAAGAATGGATAGGCGCCCATTCCCTGGCAGGTTTATAGCGTCTACGCAACGCAGTTTACTTATTTTTTTGAAGGAACA